AAGACAGGACATGTCAAGACAGTATGTTAACATAGCATTGTCGGTTCTCCTTTCCCATGAGTGTTCGACTGTAGTGAAAGAGAGGCAGAGACACTTGACATGTCACCTATACTTGACTATAGGACAAGCAAACAAGACCTCCGATCCAAGCTACTATAGTTGATAGTGGCTACTATAATTGGAAATTTAGCGCCATTTCATATTTTCAACACCGACAATACTACTATCGTGGGGGTGTCAGAATATCATTACGCAGTGCAGTCTCAAAATACCACTATTTTTTTCAAACGTGCTGGGCTTGGTGTATTCGTATTGACAATACACGAGAATACACAATAGTTAGAATTTCCAACGTGCAACTTCGATTCTATTCTCATCCACGATGTGTTGAACAGTGGCAAAAATATAGTCGTTTTTTGAGCATACACTGCGTAGTGATATTCTGACATCTCTGTACTTCGAATGACATTCTCTTGCATTCTGTCCACTTCAGATCAATGGCGTGTTCGTGCACTCGGATGAGTTAGTTAATCGAGTATCAACTGATCAGCGAGTTCGATCAAGAATAGAAGAGTCAGTGAACAACATCGCTGTTTATTCAGCGACAAATGGACAAAGTGGTCCAGGAGGCACCTTTCTGTGGTTTCAACTGCTCATCGATGTCCTTCTGCGTCTGCCTCATTCAACTAGTGACATTCAACACCTGGTCATCATGTGCAAGGAGAGCTATGACGATAATCCACATGAAGAAGCGACGATCGGAGAATTCAAAAGAGACTATCATCCACAAAAGAGTATTTGGTGGTATACTCGAGACTCTTGTCTCTATCGGATACCCAACAAAGCTCTCCGACTTCAAAACATTGATCTTCTCTTCTCCATGAGATTTTTCATCAAAGATATTAGTCAACAGTTGAAAGATGAACATCGAAAGTTCGTCGAGAAGCCAGGTGGGTCTATGATTCAAGTCTATCGTGGTCAAGCAGTGGCGACAGAAGAGATGAACAAGTAGAGATGTAGAGAAGGACAGTTGATTTCATTTAACAGCTTTCTCTCGACGAGTCTAGACAAAGATGCGGCGCTGATGTTTGCACGACAGATTGTTTCCTCTGATGCTTTGCAGCGTGTGTTCTTCGAAATCAAAGTGGATACTCGACTCGAGACTCATGCATTTGCTGATATCAGTGACATGAGCTACTTTCAGAGTGAGAAAGAAGTTTTCTTTACTCTGGGCTCTGTGTTTCGACTTGAGAATGTCATGTTCGATGAGAGGGAGACGTTGTGGTGTGTCAAGTTGACACTGTGTAATGAAGATGATCAAGATATGAAGGACATGTATGAGCATCAGAAGAAGAGAGTTGGTGGTGGAGATGAAGAAGCCAGTCTCCTCTCACTTGGTAATGTGGTGTACAACATGGGTGAATATGAGAAAGCGAAACAATACTACACTTGCGTATTGGATGAGTTGAGTGATGATGATACAAATGTTGCTCTGTGTCATAAAAGACTCGGCGCAGTAAGTGCATCATAAGGAGAATATGATGTTGCACTCGATCATTTGAATGAAGCCGTGAAACTGTACAAGAAGTTTCAACATGCACATGACACACTAGACATTGCTAACTGTTATTATTGGATAGGCGCAGTGCACAGGCTCAAAGAAGAATATGAAACAGCGCTTTCATACTTGAACAAAGATTTGGCTATAAAACAAGCGAAGCTTCCTGCTGATCATGTTGATACTGCCCATACTCTACGTCAAATCGGTAATGTTCACTGTTACCAAAGAGATTATGATTCTGCGTTGTCTTATCATCAGCGTGCTCTTATCATGTACAAGAAGGTGTTGCCCCCGACTCACTCTTACATATCAAATAGTCTGGCAGAGACTGGCAATGTGTATGCCGACAAGAAAGAGTACGATCGAGCTCTCGATTATTACTATCAAAGTCTCCAGATTAAAGGAAAGTCACTTCCATCCGATCATCCATACGTAGCTACTACTTAACGTTCGATCGGCCTTGTGTATGAAGAGAAGAATGATTTGACGACAGCTCTGGAGTGTTTCGAGAAGTGTCTCGTCATTCGAAAGAAGTCTTTCCCACCATCTCACCCGTACATTCAAATGGTGAGTGACGCTATACGACGGGTGAAATTGAAGTAACATTTAGTTTATCTGCATGCACTTAGACACTTGTTTTCTCCTAGTTTTGTGCACTACTTATTACAATGACAGAATAGTCTGATCTCTTGACTTCTTCATCAGCTCAAGAGACTTGTATAAAGGCTGCTTCATGACAGGGAGTGCCAGATGTATTGCCATAACTAGTATGTGGGAGTTGTGAGATGTGAGGTCTTGAAGTTTTGTGTGAATGTTTATCAGTCTACCGAATGATGTCTAATTCAGTTTAGTTTTAGAATCTCTTATCAGTTAGTTATAGAGACTCAAACAGAGCTCGTGTTTGAATCAACGAAACGAAGATGCCGCAATCGATTTTGAGGTTCTCCTAGGGTCTCGCCTGATGGTTTCCGTCGAAAAAGACAAAGTTAACCCTTTGGGTCCCAAATTATTTTTGTTGGTTTGAATGTAATTCGTAATTCTCGATTTTCTCCACCAGAACTCAACTTTTATGCAATAAAAATATCATATTCGGAATCAGGATGAAAAAATGAATCGACTGATGTGTATCCCTATCCTATTCGAGTACTTTAGTTTTTTTCGAATTTTCACGTTGAAAAATCATCAAGATTTTCACCCAAAACTGAAATCAGCTAAAAATTTCGAAATACAGATCAGTCGACTGAGTTTTTGATCCTGATTCTAAGGATGATATTTTTATTACATAGAAGTTGAGTTCTGATCGAGAAAATTGAAAACTACGGACAGAATTCCGACTTTTTCGCTACTGATTTAGAAAAAACGAATTTTCTCAGCAACGAAACAAAATTTGAAAAAAAGCGAGTTATACTTTTGAAGCCGACACTTCAGAAAATATAATGGGATGTAAATGATAGTTCGAACCCTTAAGAAAAGAATAAAAATGAAGACTCATATGATTCTTAGATAAATAAAATATATTTGATTTAATAAAATCGTTTTCTCCTAGTTTATTTTACAGACAGTGCCACATAAGTGCATTTGCTATTTATTAGCTAATGCTCCATTGCTTCATTCCAAGAGATTACGTACTAATTTTTATAAATTAAGTTGTGAAAAATAATTATAAAACAAGTGTAGCTTTTTTTATACCATGGGATTCAAAGGGTTAAGGCATGAAAAGCAACACAACTTAGTCAACACTGCGTAAGGGCGTAACTTTTCTTTGTTCTTGTTGAACAGAGAACGATAACTTTCACACGATGAGAAAGGAGCAAAATATATTTAGCCACTGGATATATTTTGCTTCTCTCCATCAAGTATTTCTTTCCACTCTATTAGAAATGATTCGTCCTTTAACGCAAACTTTGTCTAGTAACTCAAGTTACTGAGCTGTGTTGCCTGTCATGTCTTAGAAATGAGTTCTGTTTGAGTCTAAAGTAACTAGCTGATAAGTAGTTGTAAAACTAAACTAAACTGGAGCCCATCGGAGTGTCCGAAGTGTCGTCAGAATAAGTGGAATTTATTCTTCTGTTTTGACTTTTAACATGGTTTTTTATTCATCTCAAGCAGAGACAAATGTCTAGTGCAATATGCGCCATTAAATGGTACTTTGTAACCGTTTTATTTCAACCCATCTATTGCACTGAACATGGAGTAAACATTTTGGTTTAAGCGAGGCCGTCCGCCGTTTAGATTTTCTTCAAACGTTCCCAGTTTGTAGATCTCAGCTTGTTTACATTATTTAGCTAAGAAAAAAATGCTGCTAAATTTTTGAGCACGGAGTAGTATTAAAAATGTCCTATCCATTCTCCATTCATCATAAAAACTTGGTTCTTGCCTAAATCGATAGAGAAATGTATGGAGAACATTACTAGGAGAAAATATATAAATATTTTTGTTCTTTCCTCCTCCTTTTTACTGTTATTGTTAATTAGTACTAATTAATGTTAATTTAGTCTATTGTAAACCCGCTCTCATAATCGAAGTCCATCTGGTCTCTACCGGAGACTCCCGGAGTATTCTAAACATTGCACCTAAGCGTCTTCTACATCCGAGGATTGCGTCTCTAACGTACTGACCCCATGACAGATTAGACGTTAGTTTTACTCCCAAAAGTACTACTGATTTTCCCCATTTTATGATCGCGTTATTGATGGAAAAGCTCAGATGATCCGCTACAGATTGGTTGAGATTTGTGAAATAAATCTCGTAAATAAATTTTGAAAATGGTAGTGACTGATCGATGGCATTTATCGAAACTGGAATCGCATGTGTTATAGGCGATAACGCTAGGGATGAAGCAATGTTACTGACATTATTCACTGATACGAACGGCTGAACAGATGCTGAAAGACATCGCTTACTCGACATGTCGGTTAGACATCGCTTGATAATGAAAAATCAGTGGAATTATTCAAACTAGGTATAGGTAAAGAATAGAAGGTGGTGATGAGACCAGATCGCTTGTTGGCAGATCTTGCGAAACAAGATCAATAAACTGCTGTTGTTGTGAGATTAGATGTTGATGTTGATGAAGTAAGCGATTAGTTATATCGATTTTAGATGGGATCTGCTCTTTAATTGGCGTAATCAACCGATTAACTTGCGAAGATGACTTCATATTTGGAACCATTGATGTTGTTGATGACGTTTGTTGTTCAATAGTAGGACTTATTTTGACATGATCGCTCTGCCGTATATTGCCAAATACTTCTCTCAATTTTGTAATAATGTTATTGTAATCCTCTTTCAATAATCTTTTCCATTTTGTTTGTCTTTTGTTCACTGGTGATCGATAATTAATGATAATTTGATCGAAAATAGACTTTTCGTCAATCAGCAATGTATCATCATTCGGCATGAAAATCAAGGAATATGATGTTGATTAGAAAAGAACGAGAGAGTAGAAGTGTCTAATCTAAAACAACGGACGAAGGGCAAATGCTCCACCGCTCTCTTTATACTAATTTGTAATATAAGATACTGCGACATTACCACGAATACAAAAAACGACATTACCGCGGACTTCTTTATCGGAAAGACGAATAAATGAGGCAGGTTTTGTATTTTGTACATTATGTTTTCACACTTAAGTTCAGTTAAGTGGTGACTAGTCTTTATCTGATACAGTCACAGATATCTAGTTTCGCATCATGAAATCATGTTTTGTGTGAAACCACTTTTCAAACTCACTGTCACAATGTCCCCTCTCCCACCTCCCGCCACATGATATACAAAATACAAAACTAGGCTCATTTATTCTTCTTTTCCAATAAGCGGGTCTCCGCGGTAATGTCGTTTTCTGTATTCGTGGTAATGTCGTTCGTATGTTGGTTTATTGATAAAGAAGCCAAAACAGTGATTGATACAACAGTATGGCGAACGCTGATCGAACAAGTTTTCCACAGTCTCGTCTACCTAAGATTTCGTTTGAAGTCAGACAACAATTGAAATACAGGAAATATTTACATGTAATTCAAAATGATCTATCAGAAGAACTATGAACTGCCGAAACTGGATAATAAAGAGTCATTGAGTTATTAGTCAATAGAATTTAATTATAAATATGATATTCATTCTGCTATTAGTAATACTGGTTCCTCCAGCATGGCTATAGCTCATGCTTTAACAAATATTGTTTATTATACCTGTAGCAATAGGTGGATTTGGTAATTGATTATTAACATTGATATTAAATTCATTAGATGTAGCATTTCCTCGTTTAAGGGTCTCCTCTCCAAATCTCACTTCGTTCGTCCAATATGTGACTTCGTTTCATCATCTTTTTCTTAGCTATATAACGGGAAAAAAAAACGGATTGGCTATTGCCATCTTCAGAGGTGTCACAACAACAACCGGAGTTGAAACACAGTTGTGAATTTTTGAAACGGAGTCGGAATTAGAGTTCGATCACAAATCTGAAAACGGAGTTGGATTTAGAGTTGAGTTGGAGTTGAACCTCGGCGGAGTTGCCCAGCCCTGCCGTAACCAAGACATTTTTAATGTGGGCGTTTCACGGTCAAAAAATAGTTTGAAAACGTCCATGGTTAGAAACGGTCAGTTAATGGTCACCGTTTACTGGCCGTTTCCCGACTAGATATTATTCGTACAGAAACTCGCCATTCACTGTCCGTTAACTACCAGTTAACGGACCGTTTTCAGGCCGTTTTTCAATACCTCGCGGTAAACCACATTAGAATTTCTCTGTCGTTAATGGCTCATTTACGGTTAAAAGTATCTCGAGTCATATATATGTGAAAAACGGCCTAAAAACGAGCCGTTAATTGGCTGTTAACGGCCTGTTTACGGTTTAAAGAATCTAATATGTGTGTGTTTTTCGTTTATCCTCCATCATATTTCACACTATGTAGATGAACTCAAATAAACTAGAGGTAAAGTAGTTCAGAAGCTTGCAAGCTTGAACAGCACTT